GAATGTGACTTCTCTGTCCGGTCTATACGGCAAGCTAGACAAAATGGCTCTTGTCGTCCATATACGCGTTACATACACAGGGTCATTTTAACTCTCACATACCACTAACCCCATTTGCGCATCTATACCGCCCGCCGTAAATTTCCTCATTCTTCGCTTCCGTCTCTCTCTCTCTCTCTCGCTCTCTCTCTCTCTCTCTCTCTCACACACACACGTACTTATTCACTCTATCGCGCTACCAATTCGACTCATTTTTTTCAATTATAAGCATTTTCTCTTATCTATCACGTCTGAGATCTCGCCTGCGATGCCAGTCTTCACTCGGGATCAATCCACAGTAGTTCATCATTATACTGCAATCTACTGTCACATATCATTATATTAATATAATATCACCGCTCTTCGCTTATTATTAGTAGTAATATCAGTTTTATGATAGATCTTCCTTCGGTTGTTATTGTTTTTAATTGGTATGATAATGAATTATTGTTAATATAATGCTAATATCCATGATTTGTGTTCGTAGCTTTATTGGTGCCAATTGAATCGGTCTATGTTGTTTGTCTACGCATCCAGTTTAGCACAGCTAACTTCAAATAGAGAGCCGCTGCAGAGGACGCGTTTGTTTCGTTCAGTCAATCAGATAGTCTCTACATGAACGCTGCTCTAAGACTTTCGAGGTCAGTATTTCTCGATGTTCCTTGTTTCGTTTACGATCGGGTTCCTTCTCGAGGCACACCGCTCCTTCAGCTCCTTCTCTAGTTCGCTTACTGCGATATTTTGCTAATTTCTATAAATGTGCTGTTAGCATCTCGTGGTTTAATTGTCCTGTGAGTTCCGAAGTTTACGAAGGTTCCACACCTCGGTTCGGCACGTTTGTTGCGAGAACCCTCAGCTGTAGTCGGCCACATTTATACCTACTGCTTAGTATATATTTATATTGTTTATACGATTTTTTATAATCCATACATTGTTTTTTTTTTTAGCATCATCATCGTGTCATTATCTCGCTTTCTTTACTTCTGCCATTTCCGCTGCGGACGCTTTTTCTAATGCGCAGCTAAAATCACCAATTATCGTTCAAATCTACATGTACCTTTATGTACCGTTATATATAGAGTTGCTTCTTCAGTATTTTGCTGTTGTTGTTGTTGTTGTTGTTGTTATTGTCCTTTCTTTTTGCTGTTCGTGTTGCTATTATTGTCGTAGCAGAATTCCCATCGCGCGACCCACTACTAACTAGAGTCGGTATTATTATTACGACCCACCCATGCGCACACACACATTCGTTTCTTTTTATCTATTTTATTTGGGTTATCTGCCATCACGTATGGCAGACGCAAAGAAATCGTATGTTTGCCAAAGGATGTAACGCGGTATTGGCGGGTTGATTTGTTGGCGTGACAAAATATTGTTAATGCAGTTGCCAATATTCCGGTTATCGTCGTCGTCGTCGTCGTCGTCGTCGTCGTCGTCGTCATCGTCGTCACTGTGTTAGTCTGCTACCAATAAACCGATATAGTTTAATGTATGAAAAAAGACGGGTGACACTTCACTCACGCAATGGGTACCCGTGCGAGAACTGCGATCTCGCGCGGTTTAAACAGAGCGTATTCGTTCGAGTTATTGGCTAACGATAGGCTTCAAATCTTGATACTCTGCTGTGACGGCGAGGGTGAAGGAGCTGGAGATCCCGGCTCCTGCTTTAGCATACCCTTCTGTGAGAGAGCCAACAAGGCGTTCAGGCTGTTCTCTGTGCTGTTTTCGGGTTCCGCCGATCCTGGAAAGTATATTAAAAATTATATTATACCAATATGAGAACAATGTTAGGCTGAACCAGCTGTCATTGAACATTCCGACCTTACTACATCAACAAAGAACAATTCAGCGAAAGTTCGTGTACGTGCATCCTCAAATGAAATATTGTTTGTTTCTATTTTTCGTTATTACCTAATATCATACGGCTACTATAATAATCGAGTTTTTCCGATATTTAGGCCACTAAGCATTGCTTCAAACAAACGGTTTCCGTTTTGCGTGACGCAAAGTGTATCTACGCCTTAGAACCAAGACGACTACGTATTTTTGAATTTAGTAGGTAACCACGCTGCCACTGTTCTATCATGGGAGGGGGTGTAGAGGGGACTACTACTACTGCTACTACTACTACTACTACTACTACCAACGATAATCATAGCATCGCTAGGCATATATTGTTACCATTGTGCGACTTGTGATGATGCCCATTCGAGGCGGGGTTTCCGTCTAACAGACAGCTACTGTTGCTTCCATTGTTGTTTTTCGATTGCTGCTGCGACTGCTCGCTGGCACCGAGTGACACTCCGGCCACTGGTGGTGGGTTCGGGGAACGCGAGCTAGGCCGGGACATGTTGAGGGGTGAGGCGGATAGGGGCGGTGGACTGGGTCCTGAAGAGCCTGAGATCGTCCTCGAGGTACCCACGAAATCTCCGCGGTCCAGGCGAGGCGGCCTACCTCGCGGCCTTCCCGTGGCACTACTATTACTGCTGTTGCTGTTACAATTATTATTTGCATTGTTTCCACCGTTGTTATTCATGCTGCTGCCGCCAGCTAACGTGGTCGTGGAATTAGTTTGTTGGCTTTGTTGTTCGGCTGAGGTTTGCTGCTGCTGCGCTTGTTGTTGTTGCTGTTGCTGTTGTTGTTTGCTGGAACAGGTGAGCGAGAGTGGCATAATCGACGAGGGTGACGAGGCCACGGCGGCGACCGCGGCTCCCGCAACTACCGCCGCCTCAAGGGCCTCGGTGTCTGCGCAGCCCTTGATCTGGTTGGCTAGCTCTCGGATCACCCGAAGACCTTCGTCCATCAGGGTTTCTTGTACAAGTTGCTTAGTGATCTGCTGACTTGTCTTCTGCTGTTGTTTGCTATGCTGTTGCGATTGCTGTAACTGTTGGAGTTGTTGCTGCTTCCAGAGTGCGGCGGCCGAGTCGATCAGGGGTGACTCCCTGCCACCGCCGATTGACGATGACGACGTCTGCTGTTGTTGGAGCGTTCCCCCTGGTGCTACTCCTCCTCCTCCTCCTCCTCCTCCAATTGACGAATGTTGCTGCTGCTGCTGCGAATGCATTGCTGACGAATTGCCAAGAAGATTGGCCATGTCGGCAGAGACCACGTTGGCGGAGGGCGCAGGCGGCGACGCGGCGTTCGAGAACGACTGCGCGCTGAGCTGCGAGTCCGTATCATCGGTGTCCTGGCCGCCAGGCGTCTTGACGCTCATCACATCTATCGAGCCACTACCGACGCCGCCGAGCGCCAAACTGCTGCCACTGGACGCGGCCGCAGCCGCTGCAGCTGCCGCGATCGTCGCGAACTTTGGACTATTCATAAATCTGCAGTTGAAAAAGGGAGAGGGCGTAAAAGGTAAACGAGAAACGAGCCAGAGCGAGAAACAGCCATAACGAGATTGGGTCGTTAGTAATAGTTGCGGATGTCGCTTTATTCGATAGAAACGAACGAATTGAGGAACACTCATGCACACTTGTGATAAGTGTATATATATAAGATGGGGCAAAAGCAGGTTTCATATTGGGAAAGAAAATAGGTTTTCAGCTGATACGGGTGTTGCTTCAGCTGTAAGCCTGCGTTTACCCGTCCCACAATCATGTATCGGCAGGATAGACTATGCAGAACAGATCAAACATTCGATGCGCCTAATGCACACACAGTAATCAGCTAAGGCTTGTCGATTACGATACGAAGTATTTCCAAATGCCTGTGTGCAAATTGTAGACATCGCACGCCTGGTTACGACACGCCCGCTGCTGTTAGCGATAATTAGAAGGCTTTCGAGGACAAGCCTTACACTGTCACGCCAATGTTCAGCTCGTTGAGAGATGACCTCGCCTCTGTCTCCCCGTTTGAGCCAGCACTTAAGGCCACCCCCTTTTTTAATTCGTTTTTGTCGTCTTTACCTCTAGTGGCAGCGGTAGGTGCCACACTAATTGTAGCTGTTGTTGTTGTTGTCGTCATCTCAGCTGCACCAACCGCTATCCCGTCAGCTGCGCCCCTCGAAGATCTATCGCTCCCTAATGGCGAAGGGGTCACGCACACGGGACAAGCAATGATCGACTCTCTCTCCCATTTTCGTCAGTTTTCATTTTTTTTTTTGTTAATCATCGTCCTTCTCCTCTGTCTCCTCGTTTTTTGTCGAAAACAATAGACAGTAGATAACCGCCATGGGCGCGACGAAAGCAAACGCAAGTCAGAGAGATGCTATGTGAGAGATTAAGATCGAGTGACTTAAAAATAGTTCAAGCGAGTCTTGTCGATCTACATACTTTTCTTCAGATAGACAGAAATAAACAGAAAGGCGACGAAAAATGGAAAGAGGAGCCAATAGATATATGGCTGGAGATGAGAGTATTTATGGTGGCGCAGGTTACATTTTATTTGTAGAAGCCCTACAGCAGTCGCGGGTCAAGCAGCAGAAACCGAACAAAACGAGAAGACCAAGAGCCCCTTCCCCATTCTACTCATCAGATAGAAGTTTATTCGCCGCTTGACGAGGTGAATTCGCATACGAGGGAAGGTGCGCGTATTGTAGAGCGCCGTTACGCGTTGCACGAAAGTTAACGGACCCCACAAGTGCGCACACTGTGTATCCAGCAGCAGACAACCATCTCTCTATCTGGTTCTCTCGACGCGCCTGATAACCCCTGCTTTGGTTCTTTATCATTCCCTCCTTTCTACCCTGTAACCCCAAAAACAGCTCTTGACTCATCACATCGTCTTACAGGCAAACGATTCTTACGAAATGCAAGGCTCACATACAAAGGAACAAGGAAGACGAGTCAAAGCAAGTATGTGCTCCGTTTGTACAGCGTGAATAAACCAACGAAAGGTTTTGCTCTCTTCACCACTGACCGGAGCCTTCTTAACGCCTTTCGGAAAAGAATGACAAAAACGCCCAAAGGCTTTTGAAACGCGTGAGGGGCACACGCGGGTGGCTTGGGCCACCGGTCGCACCCGGTCGTGCGCCCAATCGACCGAGTAAACCGATAAAGTCCGTGAACGCGTAAGCGAAGCAAGTGACACGGGGCGTTTCGTCGACGGGCGGTCGACGTATGTTGGGGCAGTCCCCCGCCGAAATCGGGAGAGGAATTTTTTAAAATGCATTTCCCTGTTCAGCCCCAATTTTACGCGCATAGCAGTGCCATGATTTCTTTTTTCCTTCTTGGTCCTCTTCCTTTGCCTTCTCCCGCTCCTTCACTGTCTTCATGAGTTCCTGCAGCAACTTTTGGCTGTTCTACGCCATTTTCTTTATTGTCGTTCAGCAGCAGAAACAAGAGCACAGGCTAAACTTTTTGTGTAATTTAAGACTTTTGCGCGTCGTTGAATTTCGATTCCATCGATGCAGACGAGCGAAGACAAAATAATGCCACAGTCGGACAGAGACAGCCCAATAGAACGAAGTTGAATAGCCAGCAATATGGTTAAAGCAGCTAGTAGCGCGCAAGGGTTGTCCAGTACCATGAATGTCGTTACGAACAAGACGTTACTAACTAGTCAACGATGAACCACCGTTGTTTTTCCTACTTAGGAGTGTACTTTTGAAGACGACGGCAGCACCGATCTACAATCTTCTCTAGGCTAACCAACCAAAACAACGAAGAGCGTTGTCTATTCCCTCGATCAAGAACCAGTAGTCACTACAGAACATAAAAAAGGCCCTACAACCCTTTACAGTCCTTGTACCTAAACTAGGCTTGCATTTAGTTGTCTGAACAGCACTACTTTTTTAGTTTAGGCTGACTATAACAGCGAGCAAAAGAGCCAGCGAACTACTGCTAACGTCAGTGACATATACAATGACTAACTCCGTCATATCCAGGCTCGGTAGTCGCCATGGCCACGGTCATGGCTGTCTGCCTGCCTGCCGCCATCACAAAAACGTAATAGTTTACCTTGTACGAGCAGCACCGACTCGCCAAGATGGTTCTTACATCGGCATGGTTTGGTGTTCTTCTTCTCTTATGTTCGTCGTCATCGTCTTCGTCGTCGCCTTCTCCTTTTGGGTGCCCTCCCCCTGGGGGTACTCATTTCGCTCTCAAGCCGAAACAACGAGAGAAATAACGAGAAAGAGAAAAAGGGGTAACGGCTTTACTGTTGCAGCCGTCGCTGCCACCCATGCCGGCTGGTGGGGCTCCACTTCTCAGAAGCAGCTGCTCCGACGCGTTAACTCAGCCGACGGATCGGCCTCGAGGTATACTCTGCCTGAACGTTCTGCCGAAACTGACAGGAGAACCAAACGTAGTGGACCCGTCGACTTTTTGTGTTATCCAACTTCGGGACATCAAAACCAAGCGAGCCCCGAGCACCGGGCACGGAGCACCGAACGCGCCCAACAGCATAGCATGTGCGCTCGCTAGGTCGACTGAGTACATTAGTTGACTGGGTAGGCCATGGATGGATGGACGGACGGGTGGATCTATCTTGCATCGACGACGAAAGCCGCCGGCCTCTCGCGGGCGAGACGGGGCCAAGTAAAGCAAGGTAAGATGTGCGTAAATAGCGAATATATCTAAATACCAACAGGATAACTACGACGTGGTCGACAACAGCATCAACAACGGACACCATCTCGCAGGCGCATCCTCGTCACAGCGGCAACAATATGGATGTGTTCGGGTTTCAAAGCGGCCTGGCTGGCGGGTTGGCCCCCTAGCTCGTCACTTGAGAGACAAACATTCATGAGCTCCCAAGGGGCTGGACTAGGATCTCGAACACTGAAGAAGCCTCCAAGAGTATAACAACTAGTAACATGGACGAGTATAAAACTTCTAAAGAACGAGTTTCTTAGCCAGCGCGCCACTCGTCGCCTAATAGCAAACACTCCCAAGCAAACATCAACAGCAGCCAACGATGACGGCAACAACGAATACGATTGCCTAGAAAGTATACTGTATCAGTGTAAAAAATGGTACTGAAATTATCTCAAAGGCTATAGGGGTCAGTTTTTGTGTGGGTGCCAAAATCACAATTATTAATCATATAGTATTCGTTATGATAGAGCTAATGGATCTGAATGCCACCCGTCTGAAGTCAAACTTATCGTGCTCCAGGCAAGTCGGCACCATGAGTCATATTACCGATATAGTATTGTATATTCAACTGCCAAGATTCTGGCGGAGTGGATAGAAGACCGATTAATTTCAATAGTTGGGATCAGTCCACTTCTACTGAAGGAAGGACGACATGCAATATTTCTAGTTATTGAAAGTGATGACAAAATTAATAAGATGAAAAGGCGACATCATATGTGGAACTCTTAATTACTGTTGTATAATTGTATGGCAATACTATGCCGCCTGGTAATATCCTAAATCGTCAAAGTGGAGTGCTTGATCTCCGGATCACCTTTGCTAGGTCCTCAAGATAGGAAGTGGAGAGGTACTTCCTTCTTCAGGATACGAACTAGAAACGGGCTATTTGTAAGAAGCATTGTTTTCGCTTGGTCATCATCATCGTCGCCCCTGTCGTTGTTGTCGTCGTCACCATCTCATATATATGCGTATACAGGGCATTGCCCAATTCCAGGATTGGTTGCTTAATTCATCTCGAAGGGAGCCAGATCCATGAAAAAATGTCCAGGCATGACTTGCTGACCCACGCACGTTCCTGTAGCATCCAAACTATCAAATGCTATTAAACGCTCATATATTGAAGATTACAGATGGTGGCTGTAGAATATCTAAGAAAAAAAATCACTAAAAAGAAGATTTTCTAAGAGAAGAAGACCAAGCGACCAAAATGACGAATATTACCGAATGACGAATGTGCCTGAATCAGCTCGCATACGCACGATTTCTCTGAACCGTCCACAACAAGAAGCGGATTTAGAATCACCCTGTATATCGGTACATATGTATATATAGATTCTCGTCGCCATGATTCAACATTAGACAGCTTTTGCTCTCTGCCGCCCATGTTCGTTACCCACTTTCCCCCCAAGCCGATGCTCCGCGGCCAGCGGCTAGCCCAGTCCAGTCCACTCGCTCCTTGGACACAACACTTTTCTACCCCTCGTTTCATCTCGACTAGCGTGCATCACGGCCAGCTTCTCCGGCCTGCTGGCGTGTATGCACCCGGCTTGCACCTCCCCACTTGGTCCAGTCAGCGACCGACGGGGGCCAGAGGCGCACAACCCCTTCGGATGAACAGAATAGCTTGCTCGTCGCCATTGATGTTACCGTTGCCTGTTCGTAGCTCCCGGCTCTCTTCTTGACAGAGACTTGAGTGGACACCATCGGTCCACTACGAGCCGATCTGGGCTGATGCTGCTGGCTCTGTTTTGTCGGCAGCGTTCAACCTTTTTTTCTTTGCCTTCTTT